GGTTGCTCCATTCTGTAGTCGGTATCCGTAACCACTCTTGGTGATGATCTGGCTGAGGGGGTTCAGGCCTGTGCAGAACAGCAGCAGGGACAGAGCATCTCCTTGGTAGATACTGCACTTGATGTTGACTTGTGCAATTGGCTTGAAGTTGGCCTCTAGGGTTGTTTTCCATATTCCCATTGAGTTCTTGATGAAGGTCCTGTCGATGTTGTACAGTTCCAAGGATTCCAGGATCCATGTGTGAGGCATTGAATCATAGGCTTTCTTGTAGTCAATCCAGGCAGTGCACTTTCTGCAATTCCAATAGCTGGCTAACTTATCTCCTTGCTGCCTTGATCTTGGTTTCCAGCCTCCTTCTCCATGGAGGATACTGCTCCTTATGGCCTTTGTTGAACTTATAGCCAAGCATCTCAAGGATGATGATTGCTGTGGTGTATATCAGCTTGTTGGTGTCAGTGATGCTCATAGTAGGGATTGTTCTTAGTGCTGCATTCACATCCTCTTGTAGACTTTCAGACAGCACTTCATTTAGTCTTGGTAACTGACCACAGGAGTTCCTGGTGTCCATCTTGCTCATGATCTTCAATCTCAGGTCAGCTGCTCTTGAATCAAGCTCATCCGGGCCTGGTATTGGGGCTTGGTACCCAATCTCCAATTGTGGGGGTGATGATGATGATGATATCTTCCCCCTGACCTGTCGTCCTGGCTCCCCCTTGCTGGAACATTCATGTTGTACCTCATCAATCTCTAGTTGTGATAGCAGGTCCTTCTTTCGGATGTTAGAGCACTAAGTTACTAGTTGTTTTGATGTTAGTGTAGATGTTGGGTTTCGAAATATCCATAGGTCACACATCCTGTGTATGTAACCCCTCTTGCTGGGTTTACTTGTATAGTAGCATTCCAATAGTTCCCTGTTCTCCTCTCTTGTCCAAGACATCAGGTTGATTCTTCAACACCTGACACGGACCTTGTTGACCCAGGCGCCATCCGAGCTGGTGTAACTCTTATTTTTCCAACTCCCATTAACCCATGAGGTAGACAGGTAGCATTAAGGGCCTTGCCTAAGTACCCAGGTGAGATATTGACCATGCCCTGACCATGGTTCAAACCCCCGAGCTTCTGTACCACAGTCAGCGGTGTTACCCACTGAGCTATCCCATATATATATATATATATATGTATGTATGTATGTATGTATGTATGTATATGTATGTATGTATGA